AATTTAGTGCTACTTGGTCCCAATGGAATTTCCCATTGGGAACCTACTAGCACTAAGATGCTAACTGGTTAGCAAGATGCTTCCGACAAACAGGCCACAACTAAACTTGCTTGTGAACCTTCTGCCACACAACGCCCTCTTTATAAAGGACCAATCGCATTCACTTTATTCACTCGTTTAAAGTTGTGCACCACTCGGGAGAATTCGGAAATGCAACGTTTGGAACAGCCGCTTCCCTACGACTTAAATGACGCTTTTCAGCACTATGCTGCCGTGCGTTACGTTAGGTTGTCGTTGGACATAAGTTCTGGACGCATTATAAATACTCTATGTATACGCCCAAAATTTAAAAAATACATAGTTTAGTGTTAGTGTTAGTTTAGCGTTTCAGGAGATTGTGGGACGTCAGGTTAAATCAGCAAGGTGTGACAGCGTCCTTAGTGCTGATTTATGCAGTAAATTTGTTTGTGATTCACTTTTGATGTGATTCTGGCACCATTAGCAAACGTTTAAAATGCAGTTGTGAAGAGAAAGTGAAATGTAGTTTGAAAAAAATGCAGTTGATAAAACTTCATCTACAAAATGTAAATTGAAATAAATAATTAGAAAATATAAAATCTGTACAAAAAAAAAAAAAAGTTAATTGAAACATGAATTCATTACATGAATAGAAAAAAGAAAAAAATATAAAAAATGCATTAAAAAAGGAAATTTGAAAAAAAAAGTTTCACAGTTTAATTTCTGGCTTGGAGTTTTTTTTTTTTCAAACTTCAGTTTAAAAATGTTTTTTTTTAAATGTCTTTGGCTCACAAACATTGATGGAAAAAAAGTTCCCTCCCTTCTCCTAGTTCTGAAACCCTTCAGAAGGATTTTTCTAAATCAGTGCTGTAATCTAGACCCACATTTTGTGTCCCTGCTCGTTGTTTATCTAAGTCCTCCCCTAAAACAAGCAGGACAACCTCTAAGAAGCTTTGAGGTCCTCTAGAGGTTTGTTCTCTGGATTCCTGCTGGGACCAGTAACATGTGCAGAGCGTAACTATGGAAGAAAATAAACTGGGGGAGTTGTTAGATAAAATAAACACTTAAAGCAACAGATTGGAGGAATGTAAACTGTGGGAGCAGGAAGAAGGGCTGCAGTGATGACATGGAAGTTCCTCTGTGCTGATGGCTGTTTCAGCTCTGTTATCGTCCTGCAGCCGCCTAATGAAGCCAGCACAGATATATAGTCAATAGATGCAGTAATCAGGTGGATCTTTATGACCACTGGCAGGTGAACCCCTCCATCGATGGCTGGACAACCATAGAGCACAGCTGGTCATAATGTTCTGCCTCATCATTTACTTATCTGCTTACAGCCCAGCTGGAAGCTGTGGGTTAAGTTCCAGCCTCTCGTCTCCTGCTCAACACCGGTGCGCCCCTGAGCAAGGCACTAACCTATTCACTGTGCCTACAGGGTTTCCAGGGTTTATACAGAAATGGGTAACTCTAATGCTGTTAGAAATAATTGGAATGCCATCAACAAGTACCCATTATCGCATACATATATATATATATGTATATATGTACATGTATATATATAAATGTATATATATATGTGTGTATATATAAATACATATATATATACATATACATATATACATATATATATGTATATATGTATGTGTGCATATATAATTATGTGTATATAAATGTATGTATACGTATATGTATATGTGTATATATATGTATATATATAAATGTATATATATATATATATATTTATACACATGTATATATATATGTGTATATATAAATACATATATATATATACATATATACATACATATAAATACATATATATATACATATATATGTATATATACATATATATGTATATATGTATGTGTGCATATATAATTATGTGTATATATATATGTATGTATACATATATGTATATGTGTATATATATGTATATATATATGTATATATATTTATATATATATAAAAAAGATGACAAAATCCTTCATCATCTTTACCATCAACAGGCTGTAGCCATGTTTTGAATTCCTCGTTTTCCACCCACTTTTGTTTAAATTTGCATTTTCCCATTCTCTAGCTTTTTTTTCCGCCTTCAGCTTCTTTTCCGAACAAACGGCTTTACGATAAACCGGAAGCATTTCCGAGCAAACATGCAGAACCATTCATATCTGGTATATCTGACAAAAATAAAGCATTTTAAATGCCACAATTTTTTATAGAGTAAAATTAATAATAATAATAATTTATTGACATGTAATGATTTTTAATGGCCCTGTTTTTAATGAGGAGAAAGTTCAGTCACGATTCAAACAGAAGAGCTGGTTCTGGTCCAGCTGTCCACATCTGTTTGGTTCCACCTCAGAACCCTGCTGCTGCTCATTCTTTCTGTCCTGGATTCATTGCCTGGTAAGCTGGTAACTGGTTTGGACTTTAAATCAGTCTTTTCTATTGGGGGTTCCTAGTTCTTGGACCTGATTGACCCGAAAGTTAATTTATTTTTTTTTGCTTATTATTTAACCTGTTATATTTGTTTCCATCCAGCCAAAATAAATTATTTAACTATCAAGAAATACATTTTTGTGTTTTTTCTGCTTTTAATTTACATTTAAAGGTAGTCTTTTTTGTTAAAAATAGTTTTTTACATCCAGGATAAAAGCAGATTGACTCTAAAGACCCAAGCTTCATAACCAGGGACCATCTGTTTGGTTTCCCCCTCATGGAGAACTAGTACGTGTCATTTCTAGTGTGAAGCTGTTATCTAACCGCTCCAATGAACTCATCACAGGACTCCTTAAACTCTGGGTCGGGTCGCGGGCTTTGCTCTGGTGGGTCAGGGCGTAGCGGGGAATCTGCACGTCAGCCGGCGGAGACATCTGCTGTAGCTGTGAAATGTCTCCAGAAGGCTGCAGCCACAGCTTTAACTGATCCGTTTGTCTCTGTTCTGGTCCAGGTGAGCGGAGGATCCTTCACCTGGGGAAACAACCAGCGGACGCTGTCAGACATCAACATCCGGATCCCCACAGGTAGAGCTGCTGCCTCTAAGTCACCTCAGTGCATGAAAGGAAAGGATGCTCTTAGTTCTCGCCGTTTGACTGGATTCATGAACCGATTCATAAAAGCAGGAAGAATTCACACTTTCATTACGCAGATCATTTCTAAACTAAGCTGAATTCAACATCAGGGTCAGAACCTCCTGATGTCATAAAAACAACATCAACATTTCTGTCTTATTTATAAAATGAGTCTAAATCACTAAATGTTCCTTTAAATATCAGACTATTTCTATAATGTCCTGACAGATTAAAAGATTTTTTGTATACCGTATTTTAAACACTCATTTTTTTACACATGCCAATGCAATCGACACTCGATTGTGATGACCAGGTGGTCATGCACAGGAGTAGACAGGATCAGGTGCAGATGAGCAGGCTCAGTGGAAGAGGGGACGTGGAACATGAACTCGATGCAGGACTTTAAACTGGTCTCCTCCCTGGAGCCAGGCTTACTGGAATAAAAACTGAACCTTCCCACATATTGAGCCAAAAACCCAGAGGACTCTGCGGAGGAGGAACAGCGGTCGAGCAGCTTCTAGCCAATAAAATTAGCTCATTTGGTCACGTGACTCAACAGTTAGGCATAGCTTTGTTCTGGGCTGAATGAAGCTGAATGAGGAGTTTTTTTTGTTAAATAGATATGATTACAAAACATCAGGGAGCTACTAATAGACGGCTGTTACAGTTTATCATCTAATCGGACTGGGTGAAATAACTGAGCCAATCACAGCTAGTGCGGCCCCCCTGTCTTCCACGGCTCTTGGTTTGATCCGGAAGGAGCCATCTTTTTTTTTTTTTTTTGACCAAATGAGCTAATTTCATTGGCTAGAAGCTGCTCACCTGAGAGTAGATTGCTTTGGCTGGAGTTCTACAAAAGGTCAAAACATTTGCAGGAAAATATTTCTGCAGGTGACTTTTTCAAAATGAATTATTTTGCAGCTAATTTTTTTTGCAGCTGAATTTTTTTGCATGCAATTTTTTTTGCCGTTGAAATTCTTTGCAGGTGACTGTTTGGTAGGCACTTTTTTGGCAGGTGAACTTTTTTGCAGGTCAATATTTTTTGCAGCTGAATTTTCACTAGATAAACATTTAGTGTAAGGAATTTAATGTGTAAAAAAATTCAGTGTTTAAAATTCTGAGCTAAAAAAGTTCATGGTTTAGAATATGGTGTACAAAAAGGCAGATTCCAATTAGACAGTTTTTCTTCAATAGGGATGAAAACAGTAATTTATAGCTAAATTACTGTTTCCTGAAGCTTCTCATGTTTTAAAGATCCATCACTGTGTGAAATAAATGATTTAAACATGAAAGACACTGAGAGCAGAAAGACTTTTAACACCTCGGTTTTCATCTCCTGGGTAATTTGCTTCAATCCACCATGAAACAGGTCTGATTTCCATCTTTTTAAAGGTTTTTATGAGAGCTGAATAGGAACAGAGGTAGAGGCGACTTTCAGGCGGTGCTGTCTTTAAATCAGACTGGGTCAACTTCAAATGTCCTTTCAGAATATTTCATTTCTGTTGCTTTTAGTATTTATTCAACAGCCAACAGTGAGATGGAGATGGATGAGGAATCTGTTATATTTATTTATTTCATACTTCCACAATGACTTATTGGTTATATTGAATGTTTATTTAGGTATTGCTTATGATTTATTAAAATTCAAATTAATACATTTATGTTTGGAAAACTAGAAAATAAACATTGAAAAAAGACAGAGATTTAAGAGCTTTTTCAATTATATTTTTATGAGGAAATCACACCTTTTTAGCCATTTTTGTTTAAAGTAGATGGTTTGTTAGATCATTCTGTGTTCGGGAGAGAAGCTGATTACATGTCCTAAAGCTTTGGATTAACCCTGAAATCAGATTATTTGAAATCAGATTATTTGTAAAAAAAAAAAAAAAAAAAAGCTCAACATTGATGTCGGATCACTGCTTAAATCCCAGTTTAGAAATCCGGCTCGCAGTTACATCGAAAATAACAGCGACGCCGCTCACTTCTCGGTGAAACGCCAAGTGTCAGGGAGCTGGATGGCGGCTAGCAGCTGCATCATGCAGCACTTCGGCCCTCTGGGAGGTGACTGCCTTGCAATCCCAGTCATGCTACTACTAAGCAAACAGTTCCAATCTTCTGCCAAGTGCTGGAGGGGAACTAACTGGACTTGTGAGGGATTATGCGTTTCGTATTTCAGAAGTGGTCTCTGCCAGGCTGACTCAGAACGTGTGACCATGAGTGTAATTCTCCCCGACTTAATTACATGAGCCCCCCCTACATTTACACACAAATTGTGAGAAATGTCACCTAAGGAGCTTAGCAGGTGTGGGACTAGCAGGTGGTTTATGTTCCATAACCCCAAACACTCTGAATTAGTGGAGTTTAACTTATATTTTTCAATCAATAACATTTTCCAAATATGATCTTGTGCTTTAAATGATAGCTTTTAGTAATCTCCTAAATGATGCTTCATCTGTCATATTCAATGTGTTTCCATCCCAGGTCAGCTGACGATGATCGTGGGCCAGGTGGGTTGTGGGAAATCCTCCCTGCTGCTGGCCATGCTGGGAGAGATGCAGGCAATCGATGGGAGAGTTCACTGGAGCAAGTAAGTCAAAATTAGGATACGTCTAAACATCATGGGATAAAAGACATTTCATCAATACCAGACACTAAAAAAACTATTTCATGCCAACAAAAAATAAATTAATCTAATAAAAAGAAGAAGCCAACTTAGAGGATTTAGAACATTTTCTGTCTGTTTAACTTTGTAAACAGTTTTCCTGGTTATTGGTTTACGGTTTATATATAAAAGCAAGGATGTGAAAGCTAAATGCTCCCATCTTCTCCAATTAGTACCTTTTAGTACTTTTTCTGCATGTACAAAATAAAAGTACATATTCCAAATAACTGGCCACTCTGAGATGAAAAAAGCTTCTTCTTTTTCTCTGTTCTTATTTTACTATTTGATCATTTATATTAGACAGAAAATGTATTTATTTATTGCATTTTTCAGTCAATAATTAAGTGGACATAAAAAACTGGGCCAAAAAAGTGCTCTTAACTATGACGGAGTGTTAGGGTAATTTTTTTAAATCTTGAGAATAAAGTTGTAATACTGCGAGAATTAAGTCATCATACCGGAACCAGTTTCTGAAAGAAAGCTTGCAGCTCTGATCAGCAGATGATGGCCGACCAGCTCCACCAATCAGCAACCTGAGTCCACTTTGACATCCTTCCCAGTTTGATGCTGCTGCTAAAAGATTTCCTGATTTATCAAACCAGAGCCAAAGTATAACTTCACATGATGCTCCACATTCCTTATTTTTAAGTGCTTCTTGTAGGACTTCTCATAAAATACAACTTTATTCTAGTAATTTTAAGACTTTATTCTCTTAATTTTATGACTATTCTCATTGTGACTTTATTCTCATGAATTTATGACTTTATTCTCGTACTGTTATGACTTTATTTTTGTAGTTTTATGACTTTATTCTCATAGTTTTATGACTTTATTCACGTAATTTTATTACTATTCTCATTGTGACTTTATCGACGTAATATTACGACTTTATTCTCGTTATATTACGACTTTATTCCCGTAATATTATGACTTTATTCCCATAATTTTATGACTTTATTCTTGTAATTTTATTACTATTCTCATTGTGACTTTATTGACGTAATAGTACGACTTTATTCTGATTATATTACGCCTTTATTCTCGTAATATTATGACTTTATTCCCATAATTTTATGACTTTATTCTTGTAATTTTATTACTATT